AGCCTGGCTGGTATGTGGATGGGACACCTCCTGGAAAAGCTAAGGTTGTTGCAGGAAGAGCTGTGAGGGGGACTGCTCACCCTGCAGTCTGTGTAGGTCTTCATGCCTCAGTCTTGTGATGAGGACAATATACTGTAAAAAAGGTGCCATCCTTCAGATGAGAAGTAAAACTGAGGTCCTAATTCTCTGTGGTCATTAAAAATCCCAGGGAATTTCTCAAAAAGAATAGGGGTGTTACCCCGGTGTCCTGGTCAAAATGTTCCCCCTGGCTTTACCAATCATGGCCTCCTAATAATCTCCATCTAACTGGTGTCATCACACTGTTCTCCTCCCCACTGATAGCTGGTGTGTGGCGATTGTACTGGCACACTTTCCCTGCTGTCGCATTATCTAGGTGCACATTGGTCCCCAACACCTGTAAAGTGCTTTGTAAGAGTAAGGAATTGTTTTTATTTGACTAGGCAGCACGTTTAAGGTTGTGTTGTGCAACAAAGCACTATTTATTCTATTTCAATTCTGATTTACTAAATGATTTACTCAGAATATATTTAGTCTTTATGTAGAATTTAAATTATAAGTACTAAAAGAGTATTTGTATGGAAAAATATATATTGCACAATGTATTGCACCTTTCTTATATTTATATTTACATTTTCATCTTGCTTTTTACATACTAGTAAGACAGAAACTGGAGCTAGTGCTCACAGACAGAAGACCTAAATCATTTTAGTTGCTGTTTCCTTGATGACATAACTATGAGGTTCATGCACAGTGATACTGATTTCAGTTAAAGGGAATGACATTATTTTTACACATAGAGAATGCAGATGTGTTTTTAATGATCAATCAGCCAATGAAAAGAAAGAGTGCAATGACCCAGCTCATTCTATTTGTATATAGCATGTAGGTGTGTTTCTAAGTCTGCGTGTGTCAGGTGTGGATTATGTTCAACTTTGTTTAATCCTGAAGAAACACAACCTGAAAGAGAAACCTCTTTCTTAATCTTCTTCCTGAAAATGCCCTCTTAGAACGGAACAACACAAGAATGGTTGCAAATGAGGGGGAAGACCAGTCCAGCCCATTTGGTAGTTAGAAGCTAATTAATTCTAGGATCACAACATTTTTTTAAAGAAGCAAGCTTCGACAGAAAGGGACACTCCTTCAAACCTTTGCATAAAAATGTTTCCTGTTCTCGCTTTTAAATACACTCTCACACAGTTTGCACTTGTGCTGTGTCAACTGCTGCGTGTGTCATTCGTGATACTGAAGAAGCTTACTCCTTCTAACTTAATTTAAAGTTAGCTGCCCTGCCTTTATTTTATGATTTACAGTACTTTTAGTGTGCTCTTAAGAATGCAAAAAGGTAACATAACTGAGATCACACTGAATAAATATAAAGTAAAGTATATGATGTAAAGTTAGGTTTGTTTTTCCTGTGTTTACATGTAATGTATGTAAGCCATTCTAGTTTTGGATCCATGTTATGAAACAACACCACTCAACTGGTTCACAATATAGTCGTTGCCTTAACTTAGATCTATCTTGGTCTTAACTTGACAATTATCAGATACGTTTTCTTTCTTTTCTGAATTTGCACTAAGTGTTATGACAAATGGTAATGCGTGTTCTATCATCAATCCCTCAGTCTGAAACTTACTTGGGCCCTGCTTGTCTTTATAAGGGGGAGATTCTCTCATCTTAAGCTGGGACATTGACATTTCATCTTTTACTGTCACTGCTAAAGTCATTATATACTTAAGAAAATAAATTTGAGCAAAGAATGTTTGCGGGTATTGCAGTGACAAAAGTGGGAGTAGAGCAGTGGCTTGGGGAATGTGTCATGGAGTGACAAAACTGACCTTATTTGACTTTATTATTTAATTTGCATATAGTGACCATTGTTGTTGTTGGTATCGGTGGGTCGTCCTGCTTCTTTGTTCTTTAAAATGTGCTCTATAAAAAGAGTGTTTTAAAGGTGGTAAGCAGATTAGTGGACCATCTAGCTTAAAGAGAGTGGCTAACAAAATTAGCCAGAATTCAAAAAGGAAAGTAGGCTTTTTGGGGGCCCACGATCCTGTGGAGTTATATAGCCAGGGACAGTCCCATGTGCTGCAAGGAAGGCAAGGAGCAAATGTGTGTGTTTGGTCCCTTGATACTGCTCTGGCACACTACCTGGGAAAGCCTTTCACACTATAGGGACAGGTGAGCTAGGGAGTCCTGTGAAACTGCAATGGCAGACAGGATTTGTTTTTGGAGGCATATTTAATTTGATTTAATCGAGTCAGATAATCTAACGCTTTGTTGATCAAAGCACTAGATGGAATTATGTTCCTTTCTGCACTGTGGCTTTTTCACAGCCAGAGCTGTTTTCAGATAATAACATTGCAGGATTTCTCTTTTGGGATATATTGTTTTTGGGCAACTGTGGTCCATGGTGTTCAGATGTTTGGGGTGCAGAATGAGATACAGTAACTGATTGTAGTTGACAGTGGAATAAAAACTATAAATATGAAGGATAAATTGACTGGTCTGTGGGTGCTCTGGTGGTTCCTGTTGGTGGGGGGTGGTCCTAGCACTTTAAATTGCTAGGTTGTATAGTTGACTAAAAGTTAAAGTATCCTGCGGATTGGGGTCACTATCTATTTATATACCCATAAGTTGGCAGAATCTCCCACACACACCAGTTATGGGGGTTAAATGCTGCAAGGAAGGCAAGGAGCAAATATAAGTGTTGGGTCCCGTGATACTGCTCTGGCTCACTACCTGGGAAAGCCTTTCACACTATAGGGACAGATGAGCTAGGGAGTCCTTTGAAACTGCAATGGCAGACGGATTTGTTTTGGAGACCCGTGGTACTGCTAGTCAGATGGGTTTTGGAGATCTGCAGGGTGCGAGCTCAAACATGACTTAGTCTCTATTGTAACCAGAATCTAGTACATTTTCGGAGACTGAGGGAAGTTTAGGTTAACAGACATACAGGCAGGTAGAGGGTGAGGGTTACCTGCACAGGTCGGCTAAGGAGAATAGGATTACCTGGGAACCAGGAAGAGAGTGTGTTAAGGACAAGCACTACTGTGGTTAAAGGGTGTGTCACACAGTGACAAAAGTGGGGGTAGGGCAAGTATTTTACTTGCTTCTTACCAAAAGATATTCATCCGAAATGATTAGAAATTAGATGTAAAAGTTTTTATAACTATAGAGAAGGAAAAAGGTAGGCAAATGTACATTCTTAATTCAAGCTGGATTTATTTTGTCTCTCGACAAATCCAGACTTTAAAGGTTTAATGTACTTAAGCCATCTAGACCAATATTTGACAAATTTATTCATCTGTAATTTAAGTGAAAATGTTAATTTTTTCATTATATATATTTCATTAACTAAATACAATCCTTCGTTGCTGGTAAATCCAGGAGAAGCCACTTTCTTCTCTCAGATTTTGCAGGTAAAAAGACTATAGTCTATAAGAAAATATAAAAAAATAATTCCAAACAGATATTCATCAGTACTACTCAAGTAAAAATACAAATTGCCAGATGTAAAGGGTAAATACCTTTGAAATATGTTCTCCAGGATTACATGTAAATCTTTTCCGAAGAGCCTTATTTTAGGGCTCTCCCAGAATAAATACCAATGATTACCTTCTTTGTTTCCTACATTTAGAGTTTCCCCCAGTATGGTGTGCCTACTGCCCTGGAGTAATAAACAATTGAACAATATTTTTCCAGCAAAACTCTCTTTTTTTGAAATCCTAACTTTACTTTCTTTCACCCATTTATCTTTTATATTCTCCATAGAATGTGATTTATTTTCCATAAAATCATTAAACAGTCTACATATAATACCCTCATGTGATTCTGATTTGTAGGCTTCCATAACTATTTTCTCCACCACACCATCAACAATTTCTAGTTCTCCCTTCTTAATATTACTGTTGAAATAGTAGTGCTGTTCAAGACATCTATAAGAATTATGATTCTCCAAATGGTGTCTTTTAAAAACTGCCAAATTTGTAACTGATTCTTATCCATTATGGTACAAAATACCGCTATTACTTTTGCTATCCACACTTTAAATCTATTATCCATTCTATTTGGTATAAACTCTGTATCATAGGTGCACCATCTGAGTACCTTCACTACATCTCTTAAGTGATACTCTTTTATACCTGTATTCCATACCTTTAGTTGGAGCTTTATCCATGCACTATTTATTTGTTCAGTAAATTTATCTAAATTCTTGTTACCTAGTAATGCCTGAATAATAAGGGATGATTCAATGTCTTTCCACCTGATTTGATCATCTGGATTACAGGAATTAAGAATGATCAGAGTGTAGTATACATTAATTTCAAACGATTCAATTCTAGAACTAAAACTCCTGAAGGGGGGGTAGGTTCCATCTCAGTATATCTGCTTTTTAATTTTAGTTATACAATGTCCATAATTGCTGATAATGTAAAAATTGTATTTTAACAAAAAGACTTCTAGATATAAAGTATCATTGGGTGGGGTTATACACTGATGGGGGTGGAGAAGAGTCCTCTTTACCTGTAAAGCACTTTGAGTGCAGTGTCCAGAAAAACGCCATATACTGTAAGTGTAAGTATTATTTAGTCGGCTACAAAGTATCATGCATTTTGGTTGCACAATCTATATACCTGTGACATTAATTCTTTGTCAAACGTATAACAATATTTTTGTAATTACCTATGTAGAAACGTTATGATTCTTTCTCATAATTTGTTACACACGGTTTTCATCTACGATTTGGTAAAAAAAAAATATGAATATAAGGGAAAAAATGAATTGAAAACCTTAGGTTTAGAATTAATGAACAAGTAAGTGGTATGAAGAACAGAAATGTCTTATGAATGTCGAAGTGAAATTAATTTTTATGTAGCAGAAGGAGGAGTTCTGACACACCTGCTTGAATTCCTGTTAAATACGCGTCAGTATATATGAGTCAGCCAAACTGGCACTGGCTAACGAGTGTACCAGGTTCTTGGCGAGCCAAGGTCAACTTTAGTTTGATTCTGCTGTTATTTGGCCCACAGAACTTTAAAAGTTGAAAACAACTAAAAAATACTCCTACCAGGTATTTTGCCCTGGTAAGAGAAGTCGAGAGTTTTATTTTTTTATTTTGACTTTCCGATTTCATTCGCAGAGGACTGTGTAATACCGGGTACGATGAGCTACACTACCCCGGATAACTCGGTGGCTTGCACGGCACACAACAAAGGTCTGATAATCTACTGCCGGACTTGTGATTACTGTGTCTGTGCGGACTGTCTAGTCAGTGCGGAACACCGTGAACACGAATTAAAGTCCCTCTTGGATGGCTACAAACAACAAATGGTATTATTATTATTATTATTATTGTTGTTGTTGTTGTTGTTGTTGTTGTTACATTCTGTTGGTGATTTGAGCAATTGTCTGACAGAGGGGTTCTTGATTTTGCTTTTCTCACCTCCGTGGCTCCGCAGTGTCCATTGAGTAGGGCGTTTTACGTGGTTTCATTAATCCCAAATATTAATGAACCAGACTGAGAAATGAGAAATTCAATGATTATTGAAAACAATAGCGTCTGTTGAATCTTCAAAGCCTTACAATATAGAACATCAACAGGAATGCGTAGAATCAGAAGCACACAGTGGCTAATGTGGGTAGTTTCTGATTTTTGTTCCACCTCAGCCTGCAGTTACCTCATAGAAAAACACTTTTCATGTTAACTATTCAAGATACGTGCTTTTCTAAAGGCACTGGTTAAAATCCAAACTAAATGGAAGCTTTCTGTTTCATTGGCATTGGATGTTTTTGAGAAAGCTAGTGGGTGGGTTGGTCAGTGTTAGAACTGAAATAGCATGATGATGAAAGTTTTTAAATGTTTTTTTTAAATCTCTGTAAACTCTTAGGTAGAATGACTTGTTCACACCCAGGGAAGATATGCCAGTCCTCTTCATTCCATAATTGACCTGTTTACTTAACCAACTTAACATGGTTCATTATGTAAAGAGGAAAGCAGTGTGTAATATAACATGGGTGTCAGTTTCAATAGCGCAGCACAGAAACAGAAATCTCTTGATCTCTCACCTCCTATAACTGATCTAAATATTGTCTCAGGTGAAGAGAGTTTATACAATTTTATATCTCATGCAATAGGACAAGATGTAAATCTTTTTTAGGCTCAAATGCAAGTGTTAAATTGTTACTGTCATAGTCATATAATTTGCCCACTTAAAATAAATGGATCAGAGTGGATCAGAAATGAAGTCACAGTGGTTTTGGCTCCAACCCAAGCCAGAGGACAATGGTAGCTTATTTTGTAAAATGTGCTATGCTGAAGAGTCCTGTTTAAAGCCATGGGTAGGCAGTGTTCCTTCTTATATTGGTAAATATATTGCAATATAAGGTGACCTAGCTAGCACTTCAGTATTGCAATTGAACTTCAATCACTTAGTTGATGCTACTGCTGAAGATCATTTAATATCATAGAAGAGTCAAAGTTGTCTGCGCTTGACCTATACCAACGTTTTTTTTTTAAATGAAACATTCCCATCAGAAGAACCTGATTATGAAGAATCATTTCTTTACAGTCTGCTTTCATGAAATCGTGAACCATTAATAAGCACATCAGTGGTATGATCACAGATTTATAACAGTTCAATACCTGAACCGTGACATTCTTCTAGAGAGTTTAAAGACCTGTTCTCTTTTGCTGGAAAGGGAAAGAGTCCTCACTAGTTCACACCAGAGTAAAGCACAGACTGGTCTATATAGTCAATCCCTAGCAATATTATATTGATCACAATATTGTAGTGCCATAGTAGTTCTATAATTCCATTGGTAGCAATGCAGTGAACTGCCCTGCACTCCCTTTCAGCAGCTGGATGGCAGAGGAGGCTAGACTGAGAAGATCAGTTGCAACATAAAGAGGTTTATTGCCCTCTTCTAGTATAGTAGTAGAGTGGGCATGCTACTAGGGGAGAGAGAGAAAGAGAGATATTTGCAAACACCATTTTCCATAAGCAGGACAATTAAGTTTAAGGTGATAGGTAGTTATGAAAAGCGGACACATTGGGGACAGAATTATAGCACACCTGGTGTATGGTGCGGTAGGAACAGATCAATCTTGTTGATTCTGCTGAGAGGGCCTATTGAGGCTGCAAATACAGGTCATTAGCACTTGGAAGCTACAGAATTTGATTTGCCTCCTATAGGCATGAGAAAGGAATGCTAGATTCTCCCATCAGATGAAGACTAAATCCCTGTGCTCAAGTCCAGGAATTTGCATTTTGGTTCATCGTTTGTGTGAATGACATACAGAATATTTTTCTGAAGTTAAGTAATTTAAATAACCCAAGTACTACAACTGAGGGTGGGGCTACTCAACCGGTAATTCTCGGAATCCACTCCATCAAAGAATTTCTTCCGATTTCATTAAGGCACTGCAAAGGAAATCAATACAAGCTGTGGGTCTTTGTGTGGGATAAACATTAGTCTTTCTGTATTAATTCCTTACACTTGTATAGCGCTTTTCTGGACCCTCCACAAAGTGCTTTATAGATAACAGGGACACCCCTCCATCACCACCTATGTGCTTCCCCACCTGGATGATGCGACAAGCAGCCATAGTGCACCAGTACACTCACCACAGATCAGCTATCGGTGGAGAGGAGAACAGAGTGATGAAGCTAATTTATAGATAGGGATTATTAGGAGGCCATGATAGGTAAAGGTACTTATGGACTTGTAAGGTTGTAAGGTAAATGATATTGCCGATATTCTGATATGACTGGTGACAGTGATGGGAACAGTAATTTCTATAATGTGATCTTTTTGTAGAATGAGTTGAAGAAAACCACCAAGCAGCTGAAGACTGACCTGAGGATCACGGGAGATGTCGAGGCACAAATTGTCAAGGCAGAGAATGATGTAGAGGTAGGTGGGAGGCCTAAAAGTTGTAGCATGTCATGAATTTTGAAATGTGTCACCTCCCATACTGATGGAACTTAACTAGGAAAACATATTCATTCCTGAGAGTGGATATAGAAACAACATATAGTAACAAGAACAGACTGACAAAGTCTGCAGATAATCACAAGCATTATAGTGTTACAGGTATTGATAAGTGACCAGTATCAAAGAGCTTGCAGGCTGTGGTTATGTTGAAGGGGGGATGGACTGGTTAATATATTGAGATGTCGTATACCGTAAGTGAAAAACAGAAGACACCTGAATTCAGGAGGATGGGATTTTAAATTGTGTATATACTGTAGGTATTTGGTAAAATATACACATTTTGAGATGAATGCATGACTAACATTATTGATTTATTTAAATGTAATTTTGTTAAATCTGTTTCTACACATGAAAAAAAAATAGGAAAAAATATCAAATTTTAAAATTTTCCTAGATGTGTTTACTATCAGAGATGACAGAAGACTGAATGTACACGTCTGTATTATACACTGTAGGTGTTCCTCTGTGCCTGGCACATTGGTAATGTCATTGGGGGTGTTCTGATGGCCTGCTGTGCTTTATATTCACAGGACATGGTGGCGAAGGTGAGAGAGTCTGTGGCCAATAAATATCTGGAGCTGCGGAAGTTGATTGACAACAATGAGAAGAAGGCCTTTCAGCTAATAGCAGCCGAGCACAAGAGCATTCGGCTGCAGCTGGAAAGATGGAAAACGGACTGTAATGCCTATCAGAACAATGCCACAGAAATTGCAGAGAGTGCCGAACAAAAGAGCCAATTGGCAGAGAAAAGCAATGACTGCTCCATTGTCACTGAGCTGATGGTAAGGCTTCTTCAGGTCATCAAGACCCTCCTCTCTTACTGAGCCACAGCTCTCATCTTCTGATGCTCTGTAAGAGGAAATGAGTGCAGAAAACCGTTTAAAACTTAATCAAAGCCTGTGCTTAATTTCACATAAACTAGGTGTGGATCAGCAATAATTTTATAATTAGTTTTTATGTGCTTCTTTATCTTAGATTATTAGAAAATAAATATGCACTTAAGACTTACAAGCTTATTCTTATTCTGCCTTATATTCGATATTAATGTCTTTACCTTGAAGCAAATTGTATTTTATAATTATATTATCCTCTTTTTTTTCTGCAGGACATCAGTGCACTCAAATTAAGGTAAGATGCAGCCTCAACTCTGAACACTTATGCCTAAAAGGCTAAAACTCAATCAGAAAATCTGAAATATGCTGATAATGACCCATTCATCTTAACATCTTTACACAAACTCCTGTAAATAATACATGCTTTTGTATACAAACTGGAGCCCAGAAGTAAAACTAATGTTCTAAAAACACAGCAGTTAGGAATATAATCTTCCGTATCCTTATATTGACTTATTGTTTCTCATTCTTCAGTGTCAAATCTTTGGAGTTCTTCATTCAGCGCCTCAAGAAGGAAATGCGCTTTGACCACCACAGGCTGGCAATTCTGGAGAAGTCAGTGGAGCACATTGTTAGGAAGAATATGGAGCTCCTGCCGCGTCCTTGGGAGTGTAAGTAAGGAGCCCAGTGGAGAGTACTGCCAATAATAAAACCACACAGAGGACTGTCGCCTTAGTTAGCAAAGCTGCTGCAGAGATACTAGTTGATCAGTTGTTTCATCTGATTTGGGCAACAGCTGTAAATTCATTTTTTTGTAGGATTAGTAAGTGGAAATAGCAGGATGAAACCATCAGTCACGCAATACAGAAATCCATCTGCAGTGTGAAAATAGCAGTGAGTTGATGGAGGATTGGACGTTTCCTGAAAGAGTTTTGCACTGATAGAGTATAGCTCTGCTGTTTCCATTCCAGTGTCAATTTGCGAAGGAAAATTAGAGGATCTCTAGCGGGTATCAGAGGATACCCATGTGCTTGTGTTCACTGCTGCTTTGTAACATGCAAGTACAATGGGCAGTCTAGATTTCTAGTTATTGACAGTCGCAAAGTAGAATTTTCTCAGAGGTCTAGTAAGAATACTCTATCTTGGAAGAAAAAATGTGTTTTTTAATTTATATTGTATATTTATAAACCTTCTTTAGATGCTGTGGACCTCATGTTTGACGAAAACACCGCTCACAAAAACCTCCAGGTTTCAGAAGATAAAAAACAGGTCTCCAATGTCTCTTCGCCCCAGAAGGCCCGAAATACGGATGAATGGTTCGACATCAGGCCATACGTCCTTGCCACTAATACCTTCTCCAGTGGGCAGCATTACTGGGAAGTGGAGGTGCAGGGCATGGCAAACTGGTGTGTGGGAGTGGTGTACGACCACAGAACATGCAAAGGAAGCGAAGCAGCCCTGGGTCTTGACAAGAATTCCTGGGGCTTGCAGATGTTTGATGGGGAGTTCCTGGCCATGCACAATGGGGAGAGTATCTTGCTGGAAAAGTGGAATGTGTGTTACCGTGTGGGGATCTTCCTTGACTATAAGAATGGGTACCTGACCTTCTTCTGTATTAATAAAGCACAGCCCATGCATACCTTCAGGGCCAAGTTCAAAAAGCCTCTGCGCCCAGCCTTTGGCATCAACTCTAATTCAACTCTGCTTCTCTGTAACCTTGTGCCAGAGGAAGACCCAGCTGGATCAGATCTGGGCTTTGAAGAATCCATGCCTGAGCTTGAGGAGACAAATGACTCTAGCTATTCAATGGCCGGTAGCCAATGACATCAGTCCAGCAAAGCAGAGCATCATGATGCAAGGACATGAGATGTCTTATGTCCTGCGTCCATGCTCAGGCCAACTTGAGTGGACTTGAGTACTCTCAACTTGGTATGAAGTTTGCAAAATGTATGCTGGGGGTCAACTCTGCATTTCTAGAATTTGCCGACTTCTGCAAGTTATTACATGGACTGGGAGGTTGTCATTGGTTTTGTTGTGGGAGGTGAACAGGATGTACTGTAGATAACCAGTGTAAACATCACTGATCATCCTAACATTGTACTGTAACCTGCTGTAATGATATTATAACTCGCTACTTTAAATTTAAACACTTTGGAAAAATTGGGGGAAAAAAGCAGAAGTAAAGAGAGAGAACTGTTTTGATAAAGAAGTACAACAATTATGAATGTGAGAAGGTGATTGAGAAAGAAGGTCTCTTTTAATTTAAGGTGTTGTAAGGGGTAGTAGTTTAGTTGTAAGAATGATGTATGAATTTGTTTTTATTTATTCCTATTTATATTCTTCATGTCATAGTTAGAAGTGATAACTGTTTTGATTTTCAGTATATAATCATACTCATACAGGCTAAATTGTATAATTTTATGAATGAGTCTCAGACAAGAAAGTTAAAATGGAAATACACAATGTCTCATTGTGTATTTAACTGAAGTACCTCTACATAAACAACCAATACTTGGTGTTTGCACCATTAGTTCAGACACAAGCAAACAAACTGTAGCACAGACTTATTGAAAAGAAATAACTACAAGAAGAGAGGTGTTTTTATTGGTGGGTGATGTTCTCATACTCGCCTAGCCAAGCTTTCCAACGGTTGCTTGACTGTACAGAGGTATACAGTACATAACTGTATGCAACATAGGAAATTCCTTACGGAATATGTAAGTATGGAAACTACTTATTTGATTGTACAGAAATATCTGATAGTTCCTTATTTTACTCTTGTATAAATTGATCCTATGAAGTGAACAGACACAGACTGAATTCACAAATGTGTATCAATACACCCATCCAATTAACAGCAAGCAAGTACTGTAAAGTGTAGTGTTTGTAATGTATTTTGCAAAATGAAAGACTTGATAATATCTCTGTTGAAAAGGTTAATGAACAATGTTTTATTGCACTTCTTGACTTTTTTCTTCTGTGGTTTCTTTTTTCTATGTTTTATTTTAAATACAATATGACTCCTGTGTCAAAATAAATAGAAGAACTTGCTGTCTGATTTTATTTATTTTTTCTAATATCAGTTATTTAATAAATAAAGATTTAAATCACCACTGTGCTTGTTTTTCAGTTATTATTATTATTATGGAATGGTGTCCCAACCAGGGTATACATTGCCTTGTGCCTGTTGTTTGCTAGGATAGGCTCCCTGAATTGGATGAAGTGGTTATAAAAGATACATCTATCCATTTTTTTTATGTCATGATACTGTATATAGACTCATTCAGGAGTGATTATATCCTTATCAATATAATTTTCTATGTACAATATACTGCTCTGGGAGCTGATATGAGAAGTGTCAGCAATACCACTATTAGCAAGATCTTCCTGTACAAAGAACATTGATGACCCCAGTTACACCCTTACTTAAATTGCTATATCTGTTATCCACTTTTTAATTTCTGCATCCTACAGATAGTAGACATCAATCTGATAACAGCAGGAAGTATAATCATATTATATTAAAACTAGGAGATGCTTTTATAATTCTGAACAAAGATTAGATCAGAACTTCCCATACATAGTGCAGTGTTATTTAATTCTATCAAGAATTAAAATGACTAGTAAATGCACTACAAAGCGCCACATGGAAATATAATTCTGAAATTTCACAATTTACATTTTTAAGCAGGCTTCATATTCCAAAATCTCCAGGTGGGTAAGGGGGGATTTGAGGAAGGCTAGATTGTATGTCTGTATGGTGTGTTAGCAGCTATGGACATCTCAGGACATCAAGAGCCTGTTATGGCTCAGTCTCTTGCAGCTGAATGCCAGTAGTCCTTCGTCAGTTGTAAGAGTTGAATTTAGCCAGGTCACCAGTGTTAACACACCTGATCTTTTGAAAAAACATATGATCCTAAATGTCCGAGTAGTCAGGACCTTGGATTCATGTCTCATCTGGAGGACGGCGCCTTCTAAAGCATAGTTTCCCCAGTCAGCATGCTCATTCATTGGTTTGGAAATTCTGATTCAGAGAGTAGAGCACCCCCTACAGGTCCCCAACACCGGTAGCAGCAGCAACCGGTACTTCCCTGGCAGTTTCCCACCACAGTACTGACAGACCTCACTGGGCTTCAGGTGAAAAGATCGGGCCACAAGACTAACCAGATACAATCTAGAGCTTAAGGTAATGTCCTGCACTGAACTCTTTTAGTCTTGAGCCAAGAAGATTACTTGGTGACCCAGTTAGAGTATTCAAGATCCTCAAAGGTGTGTATAAAGTCAACCCAGCAGGTTTCACAGGGTTGTGGGACTTTGGAACAAGATACCCAGCCATGTTGTTGAATCTGCCTTATTTCAAGAAACAGCAGATGAGATCCTTCAATGAAATAGTAACTGCCAGGAATCTCCTCTTGTTTTTAAACTTTCTGATGTTCCTATGGGGTGAAAGAGAAAACATGATTTACAATGACAAGAATGAAAAAGTGGTGCAATTCCAGACCTGGGATGCTATCTGCGAGGAGTTTGGATGTTCTCCCTGTGTTCATGTGGGTTTGTGTTTGGTGCTCCAGTGTCCTCCTACAGTCCAGAGACATACTAGTAGGTTAATTGGCTTCTGGAAAGTTGGTCCTGGTATATATGTGTCTGTGTTGTGCCTGTGTGTGTCCTGCAATGGATCCATGGTATATCCTGCCTTGCATCCAGTACAGGCTCTGTGACCCAGTATTGGATGAAGAAATTAGAAAATGCATGGAATGTAATTTAACAAAGTAAATTGACAAAAAAAAGCTTTTGATAATAATATTTCGAGACATTTTTGCAAACAAATTTGTTTTCTAATTCACACTAGAAAACCCACAGCATCCCTCACTCTGTTAAATGAGCACTTATTCTCTGCCCTTAATAGTTAATGTGATATGTGATAGTATCACAATCTAATCACAACCTAAATATTTTAAACTGCTATTAATTTTGTATTTCTTTACCTCAAAAATTCTTCATGTGGGCTTATCTGCACATGTTCTCGAAATGCAAAACCCCCCAAAAAGGATGTAAAGTAAAACACAAACCTTTCTAGCACAGTGCTGATGAGATTTTCAGCACAGCTTAAGAATTTACAGGCCTGGAGCTGGGTGGAAAAAGGTCAGTAATTCAGGCCAAAGGGAAGCTGCTGGACCTGTGTGTGGTGTCACACTGATGCAACAGTTGTGTTGGCTGCTGTCACCATCGATTCACAGCTGCATTTCTCTCATATCCCAAGGTGCTTGTGTTAAAAGAGACTACATCAGGTTTTAATCAAACTTACTTCTCAGTCATTTAATTGATGTAACTATGTACTGAACTGGTGAAAATGTCATTTCCTCACATTTTTTCTAACAAACAAACAAGCAAACAAACAAACAAACAAACAGCTGCTCACCTGCAATTATCTGTAAACCCTACAGGACTACAACACCTGAAGGACTGAAGTGACCACGCAGCTTCATGTTTAGGTACTGGAGTGAAAAACAATGTCACTTGGCATTAGTACAGTATTTTATCTGACTTTTGAACAGTTTTGTGAACAACACATTCTATTTCTGTTACTTTTGTTCTCAGGGTATATCTGAGCTAGAACTACAGTAACCTATTTGACATCCTAGCAGTAGAGAATGGGTCGTGTATATAAACTGTGTATATACTGTACATAAAAACGCCACTTCAGATTCAATCCACTACATTTCCCATAAACTAAATGTGAGACTCAGCTGCTAGGATGTGCGTCAGAGCTGGGGGTTGGTCTCGTTGTGTTGTGGGTTTCAGAGTAGAAGTCACCTGAAGAACTGTCACGGATCCGTAGATCGCAGGTAAGCGCGTTTATTTTAAATCGCTATTATTTATTTGGCTATAATTGTGTGAGCAGCATCACTTATGCAGCGTTTTATTTATTATTGACCGTAATCCTATGCTGTTTTATTGAAAAAAAGAGCAGAAAAGAGATAAGCGGATGTCGTGGTTCTGTGTAAAATGTTTTACAGCGGTGCGATTTTTTTGTAAAACAAACAATAGCAAACAGCAATCCAATCGGTTGCTTTTCCTCTATTAATTGACAGCGTGAGGCTTTAGCGCTCAGTACAGTGTTTTAAAGCAACAAATGATTCATGTCCTGGTACATGCAAAATAAAAAGAATGGCGCAGAGAGAGGTGCTGTTCGCCCATCATATCCAACACACACTTACGCTACTATTGTTTCGGTCCGCTTTTGCAGTAATGTAGCATGCAGGACATCTTTCTTATCCGCTTGCAGAATGCGCCATTATCTAAAATGCTCCGGGCTACACTTTGTCATTATTATTTATTTAGGGCAGGGCCAAAGACATGTTGCAACCTAGTAAAAAAAAAATCTTACAGTAGCCTAATCGATCTTTTTAAAGACGGACACAGTCAGGAAACGTGACATCTTAATTCGTTTATCGGAAAGTTCACCTCTTCAGCCATGTCTTTGCAAAAAGACAGATATGATCAGTGTTCTCAGGTGAGATCTGATAGGGCAGTTTTGTTTGTATTTTCTTTTGCAAGTCAAGGACTGAGGGGCTTCTGGGTGTTCATTTTTTTGTGAACAAATTATTTTTGACTTTTTAAAATTTTTAATCAGGTACCCAAACTCTCACACTGACACCCTACTCGTCCTTGCCCACCATGCATATATTTTTCCTGGATGTTGAAACTGTCTTTGCCAGAAACATTTCCTATGTGAATATTTTTTTTAAGAGAATAATGTCACTCTCTAAAATACATGCAGCATCATTCATGCTGGTGTGATCATTTGATCCTGTGATCTTTGCAGCTCTGGAATACAAAGTTTAATCAGAAGGTAAGGGTACCTATCTTCCAGTGCTGAGAACCATATGGTGGTTGTCTTCTGCTGTTTGACTGTGAGCAACTACTTCTGTCTTAATAAATACATAATAATTGAGAGTAGGAACAGGCTGGCCCCGTTATCTTGTTAAGACCCCTTCATAGTCCTAAAAGATGCTTATGGTTTCTATAGTTTGTCTAATTCTTAGTTTTCCACATTTTGTTGTAGTTAGAAGGCCCTGTGCAATTACTTTATTACTGCAATGCTCAGCCTACTGTAGGACTGGATATATTTGATATTTTACATACAGTACATGTAATGTAATGTGTATTGACAACTAGACAGCTGAATTAGTTGTTTAATCAGCTAGTTAAAATGTAACACACAAACTATATTCTAAATCAGTGGTACTTGTGATTGAACAGTTAGTCTTTTGGTGTTTAAGCTTTTAATGACTATTGGAAAAGTTATTGTCTTAGTGATGCATATTGTCTTTGTTTCCATGTCTTCAGTCACAGTGAATTTTAACATTCCCGTGAAATCTGCAGAGTTGTGACTTTCCAGGCCCAGGAATGAGTATCACTATTGTAATTTCATAATTTAAAAGCTCTAAAAGAAGAAGTAATAGAACAGCATTTTGTTTGATGGAGGACTCTAGTTTACCCTTTGTACTTCTGTGTCACTGTCTGATTGATTTCATATCCTGTTCATCTTTTTTGTGTTTATGCAATCATTTTTTCTGAAAGTTTAAATCAATAAAGTTTGTGTAGTGTGCTATAATTATAATTAGATTGACACAAGAGCATTGATCAGTCACAAATATATCCATCACAGATAGCACACCTTTCTGACCTTCAGCTATCCTGTGAATGACCATATTACAGACAAGCAATATTTTTTTTCTCTTCTCAGTTTTTGTAACAACCTCAGTCCAGAACAAAATAATTTTGACTGGCACAAGGTCTAAGAGTAATACAGTAGGTAAGCTCAACTCTGCTAGCCAGGGAAGGCAGATTTTTCTCATGTTTCTTTGGTCATGCATCCCTTATCTCTAGGAAAGTTTATTCATTTTGCTGGGTGACCCTAATATTTGAATCAGAAAATGTTTCTGTCATAGCTCTGAGAAAAGCGAATTTTTGGTTTTCATGGGGCTATAGCCAACAGTTATTTTTTGGTGTTAAAATATTCTTCCATTTTTGTTTTAGTTAAAATCTTCTAAGTCACATGTTAAATGATTATGATATTCTAAGAATTGCAATTAAAGTTATAATTTGATGATTTTCCTAAATATCAGTTCAACTTAATTCAAATAGACAATAAAATGCAGATGATTTAATCAAGGAATGTTGTGCTAAAACTATATAATGCGCTCATAAGGCCTCATTTAGAATATCCTGTGCAATTATGGTCATCGTGTGCTAGGAAAGTAATTGCAGCCCTGTAATCACCAGAGAAGAGACACCAGATACATTCAGGGGCTTAAGGCACTGTCTTACACTGACGAGCTGAGTGAACTTTGGGAATACAGAACAGGTTATCCAGTTGGTTGCTGAAGTTGATACCTTGGCTTCCTTGCAAGATAGCTGGATAAGATCTTTGTATTAATTAACTCCTAACAGTCAATAAAAGCTGGATGGGCTAAAGTGCCTCCTCTCATTTCTAACCTTTGTTAAGTTGTGGTTATTGCTTTTTCTTATTTTTAAGGTGCAACCAATCGTTCCTGGAATCATTCTTGGCCTTTGTGATACTAAGTAATTCAAATAACTAATTAACCATCCGTTCATTTTCTAGCCCCTTTGTCCAATAGAGGGTCGTGGGGCAGCTGGAGCCTTTCCTGGCAAGCAAGGGGTGCAAAGCAGGATAGACACTGCCTGTCCATCTCAGGGCAGACTCACACAGTCACACAAGGGCCAGTTTTCCCAGATGTCAGTTAACCCACCAGTATGTTTCTGTACAGTGGGAGGAAACCTGGAGTCCCCGGAGGAAACTCACGTGAACCCAAGGAGAGCATACAAACTCCACACAGATAGCACCCTATGTCCTGGATTAAACCCAGGGCCCTGGTGCTGTGAAACAGGAATGCTAACGTCTGCACCATTGTGCCATATTAATTAATTGATGTGGGCTTAAGAACATAGGGACGTTTGACCTAGTTAAAATGTTACCGATCTCAAGGTCTCATTTGGCCATTTCTTGAAGATTGTCATGGAATCAGCTTGAAAAGTGTGGTTGGGAAGTTTGTTCCAGACATTCCATGACTCGTTGTATAAAGATGTCCCTTTTGTTTTTCGACCTGCATGCATTTAGCTGTAATTTCCACTTGTGACCTAGGGCCTTTGTTCTGTCTGTTGCGAAGCATGATGTAGTCAATTAGCTTTATCAATATGCACTGTGGCAAGGATGTTCTGAAACTTGCCTTCAAGCTTTGATTCCAAGATGGATTCCTCTTCGCAGCGCCCCTCCTGTGTTGATCAGGGAGGCTCTGGAAAGCCTCATCCCATTGCTTTGTTGATTTCTTAGAGATTCTGAACATTTACTTGAATAGGAGGGACAGTGGCCTCCTCCTTTCCCAGAAAAAGAAGACCAAACAAGGAAGGCAGACATGCTTGATGGCGTTTTGAATCATGCTTATATCCAGGACTAAGTGCAACACACATCATTTTTGGCATAATTTCTTCGCACAAGAACTGTAACTATACTTGTTGCACAGGCTGCCCATCTGCTTGTTGTAAATGTCTAAAAACAGAGCAGTTTGAAAGGTAATTTTTGAGCTGGAGTAACTGAAGTAATGTAAAACTTAAATTCATAGAATCAAGCTGTTAAATCTGTAATACCTGAGCAGGTGAAAAATGTTTGATCCTTCTGAGTGTTCTATTTATGCAGTATGTAGCTCTATGTTGGCAAAGTTACATTGAATTCATCTTCAAACATTATGAGGTGTTTTAAGTGGTGCTGCCAGTTAACTTTTGTGGTGTCCCTGTGTTGAACAAAGAAACTGTGACACTGCAGTGGGTTTAAATATAGACCATGCAGAAATGAAGGATCCTGGGAGAAAGCCAGTGGTGTGTGAAGTTATTCCCTTGTTGTATTTGACACTGAGGTACTGTACTTGGAGTTACTAATCATGTAAAATAAATCTGCCAGCTCTTATTTATATAAAGCTTTGCACAGTGATATTTCAACAGTATAAGTCAAAAGAAGTCAAGGAAGTTAGAGATTTCCATTGCTTATAATATTTATCCTTTTCAAGTTGTCAACACTGCAGGGTATCATTTACTGTAAGCTAAGATAGGTGCTGCTTTATTTAAGCCTTTTTAGTCTGTGTTGAGAATTGCATTGATAGATAACGTAGAGTTTAAACAGTTTCTATATATGTATACCTCATCCAACTAAATGATAGTGTTTATTTGAACAAAGCTAATGTATTAGCATTGTTTTTACATTTGGGAGTATGGAGATGCAGCTTTAAATGAGAAAATGGTTTCTTATATTTCATAAAAGGTAACTGTGGAACTGTGACCAATATGTGCATATAATAATATGTTTCGATGTGGTGGTGCATTGTTCAAATAATAACATCACTGTTAAATAACAAATTGTTATTATTTTTTTTAAATTAGGTTATATTATAGGCCATGGTGTTTATTTTGTTATTAAGGAATAGTGCTAGTCTGATTTATAAATTTATGTTGGTAGATGAATGTATTCATGATTTTCTTGTAAATAGAAAAAAAAGAAAAATCTTTTTTCAGGAATTCATTTGCATGTGGTACAGCGTTGTTTTACTGAACAAAAAGATAAATAAGTACTCTTGAACTGACATTTCATCCATTGGTATTAAAGAAATGTAAAACAATGACATTGCTGGGAATCACAATTTCAGCTGAAATGTAATTTTTGAATTGGACTCTGGAGACGTTGATCAATGTGCTGGTCCAGAAACAGTTTCTTTGATTTATTTAGTCATATATTTTTTTGTGCTGTAGTGTCCAATTTCTTTCATGATTC